CTGAACCTCAGCTTCCTGCATGCTGTGCCTGGGATTGCTCTGAACCTGCTTCCGATTCCCATAAGAGATGGGTCAGTCCCCAGGCTGCACAAAGCTGGAGGCAAGCAATGCCCCAGAGCAGCTCCCTGCACATCCCTTAAGATATCCTTACGGATATTCTCCACACTTAATACTTTTTTTCTTCTTCCTACTATTTCACTCATGAAAGAAGAAAAATAGCAATAAGTGGCACAGGCTGCAGCAAGGCACTGAAGACTGCAAAAGCACTTTCAAAGGATGAGGACAGTAAAACAGACCCAGAATGAGGGTGATATGGACCTGTGAATATGGGCTGCAAAGAGGGACAGAATGATGGGGCTATGTCCACCAGGCTGGATGCTGAATCTTCTGTCTGCCATCCACCTCTGCACTACCGTTTGCTGATGGTTTATCTCCTGTGCTTGGCACAGAGATGCTTTCCTGGACTCTGGGCCCCATGCAGGGCCAGCAGTGGACCCTTTCCAAAGACAACAATTGTGAGAGGCTGGCTTTGAAAAGTGATCGCATGCTCACTACTTTTGCTGCTGCTGCCCATGTAGTGCTCTTTCTTCCCCATGAGAGAAAAGAAATAGAAAGTGCTAAGACCCACAACTGAGCTGGGACAGACAAGATATGTGATAGTGAGGGAAAAGAAGGTGAGGAAAAAAAACAAAAAAACACAGAGCACAGAGCAGGCTGGCACATGACTGCTGGAGGAGACCCCCCAAGAGAGACCAGAAGCTGTGGGATGGGGAAAGGAGCCCCCCTGTGCTGTGCACTGCAGTCTCGCCACAATCCCTGAAGCAGGAAGGCAGCCATGCTTGCAGGAGCCTTTGAAGCCTCCTTCTCTCCTTTCCACCCACTGTGGGCTGGCTGGAAGCACGTTTCAGCAGGCTGCAGGCAGTGAGCTTCCCAGTGCAGGGCCACTGCCAGCCAGGCTCTCCAGGGCACAGTGCCTCTCCTCACTCTGGGCTGGCTCTCAATGGGATGAAGAGCTTTTCCTGGTTCAGCAGAGCTCTATGGCATCATTCACAGTGGCCCTGGAGCACACTGCAAGCTTTCCAAGCCTGCACCCAACTGGTCCAGCCTGTCAGATCTACAGCACACATGAATAGGAAGAAAGGACCATGCCAAGGATGCTTAGGAACTTATCCTGGAAACCTAGGCTTTGAGAAACACAATGAGGGCTGCATGCTGGCTTGATGGCTGAGCTGGATCTAGCAAGCTGTGATGTTAAGTACAGAACCACAACAGGAAAGTTGCCCAACTGTCCTTTTGCCATCACCAGTTGGATATGACAGAGTCTGAAATGATAACGATGCTCCCCAAGGCAGGCTCCTGCTCTTCCCCACACATGGACTACCAAAGCTCCCCCCCAGTGCAGCCACAAACAGGACAGTCCTCCCTGCAGGACACCATGATGGGGATAGTGAGCTGGGCTCATCAGCTGGTGCAAAGGCATATCCACATCACCACAAAGTAACTCCTGGATTGGTAAAAGCAGTGACTTTTTCCCCTGCACACAACCATGGGAACTGCTGCCATTGAGACAAGGAGAAAGTCCTGCTGGACTCAGAGGGAGGGCAGGTGTTTTGGTGAGAATGGGAACACCAAGCATCAGTAGCAAAGGCTAACAAATAGCAGGAGAAATATTAAACCTCACGCTTTGGAGCTTAATCTGATACAGCTACTAGAGATTAGCAGGAAATTTAAGGGGGAGGGAGCAAATTATCCCACATCTGCCTGTTGCAGACTTGCAGCCAGCAGAGCCCATTCAGCATCACCCCTTTCCTCAGCCAGATAAGTGACAGCAGCATCCAAGGACTGGCACTGGCAAACAAACAAACAAACAAAAAAAAAAAAACGTTGTGTCCCATGATGCCATCAGTAAGAAGCACCAAGCTACACTAGGGGATAAAGCCAAGGCTTCCCATTAGGAGCTTTACTTGCATTTAACAGCTTGTTAGGTCACAGCCCAGATGGATCCAAATCCCAGGCACCCATGCCCTGCTCTTGATATATCTGAGGTCTGGGAGTTCCAAAAGCCTCAGTGCCACTGCTGAAAAGGGGTCAGCAGCAGGCTGAGGACAACCAGCCCTTCCACAGCACTGGGTGAAAGCCCAGCAAGAAGGCCCTCTATCCTTGAGTTTAGCACGAGTTTGCTCAGCTGCTGCACTTTCTTTGCACTTCATGCACATTTAAACAAAAAGCTTCACCACTCCCTTAAGAAAGGCAAACAGTGAGTCCAGCTCCTGTTCTCTTCCACAGCACCTCCAGTCCTAGGCTACCTCCAAGGCATTAAGGCTCACTCCTCGGACAAGTCTCCCCACCCCCCCACCAGCAGCTGTCCCCACTGCCTTCACCCCACCATGGCTGCAATGAGCTGGGATGGGGTCTGCAGGTCCCCTTTGCCCCTTCCCAGGGACTTCTACCACCCTGCACAGCCTCCCTGGTTCTGTTGCATTGTTAGTGAGCACAGCCAGGCAGGAATGTGATTGATCGCCAGGGAGAAAGGCCAAAGCCGTGACGGGTCGTTTAACAATTTCAATTAAACTCTGCAGTGCTGAGACGGGGAGGGGAGGGGAGAAAGAGAGAGAAAGAAATTAAAAAGAGGGATGTTTCTACTGCTGCTCAGGGGAATTTCAACAAAGCACAGCCAGGGCAGTGGGAGCAGACTCTCTCCTTCCAGCTATGAGTGACTATGGCATCATCCCCACGGCCCCTTCCTGCAGGCAGGATATCTGCCCATGCTGACTCTAATCCTCCCAACCCAAACTTTCTCTCTGCCCCTCCCTCCTTCACACCCCCAGCAAGCCTTACAATAATAGGTGCTGTGACCCACTTGCACAGCGGCGCTTGCTTGGGGATGAGGGCTGCACACGGTGAATATTAAACAATGTGTCCCTGAAGTTCCCGCTGCCGGGACTGGCACTTGATTCTTGCTTATGTGCGGTGACTTTTTTAGGCACAGGAAGTCCCGGAGGGCTAATCACAGTGACGGCACTTTGAATCCATTAAGACAGCAGAAGGACTCTTAGAGGGATTTAAAAAAAAAAAAAAAAAAAAAATCAGCATCTCGGTCTGTCATATGGAAAAGGCACTTTAACGAGCAACAAACGCTCCACTCACATGGCATGGGCAGAAGGAAGCAGAGGGAAGCATAAGGGATTGGCAGTGGCTGCCCCCCATGCAGTGGCTCAGGGCTTGCAGACAGTGCCTTACCATGGCCTGGGCTTTTTGCTCCCCCGCCTTATAAAGGAGTAACATGAACATAAGCATAGTGAAGGACCTGCTGACGCTGCTTCAATGGGGGATTTCAATGCACTCAATTCACGTGGGTGTCCCATGGCTGGAGGGAGGGAAGACGCCAGAGAAAACACAGGCTTTAACAGGGAGAGAGGTATTGGAGGTCCACCCCCGGCACACAGGCAAGGAAAGCTGTGGGGGCCCCATACCTGCCCACATTATGCTGCCTGGCCACAGAACACCAGCTTGGGGACCCAGGTTGCATCTGCTGACATTATTTACTGCCTTGGAGCGGCTTTCAGGCCTTCTGCACGAGCAAGTCCATCTTGCTCCAGCCCTAAAATCTGCCCTACACAGGCTGCAGCCCCAAATAGGTACAGATCCTGAGCACTGAGCAGAGGCAAAGGCACCTGATCCTGTCACCCAAAGGGGCACCCAGCCTCCTCTGTGATAAAAGCAGGCTCAGGGCTGGCTGCAGTGGGAAACAGCAGCCCACATAGATTTATAAAGCTCTGGCACTAGCCAAAGCCTTCTAGGAGCCAATCCTGGGGATTTTATCCCCATCTCACATCTAAAATCCTCAGCCTAATTCATGTTTCTCAGCACCAGCCTCTCTGCTCTGAGCTGCACCTTTGAGAGCTTTTACTCCTGGCTGCTTCTCCCCACTCCCTCCAGTTTTTCCCTCAAGTTTTCCTGCAGAGACCCCTGAGACCCTCCCACAAGGCACAGCCTGGATGATAGCCATAGCCAGATGGGCTCTTTGGGAGATTATATGAACACTTTGCTGTAGGGAGCTAATTCTAGATCTGTTTTGCCTGTTCTAACTTCCCAGTCAGTCATCCCTGCAGGCTGTAAGCATGGGACAGGGGATTCTCTGGCCAATCCTTGCCCAGAGTGGCTCCCACATCCCACACAGGAGCTGTGCAGCTCCCCCTGCTCACACCCCACAGACAAGCACCCTTTTGTTTACTTTTTCCAGTTTGCTTCTCTCTGCAACTTGCAAGCAGTGACCGGAGTACCTGCTCATGAAGCTCAGCCTTCTGCAAGTTCTGTAGCACTAGGTCTGCTCTTCCACCTTTTACACCCTCTGTTTCCAGTGTGAGTTGTCAGGTACTTTCAAGACACCGGGGCCCCCATGACCTTCACAACACCGATGGGAGGTGGGCCATTGGCCCATCAAACACCTAACATTGGTCAAGCTTGCCATTTGCTTTGAGCCTGCTTGCAGCTGGCCTTTCCAAGCATACATGAAAGAAATCAGGACTGCTGAAGGGTTAAACATTACCAGACTGAAATTCAAGGTTTTACAATTGGTTCCAGTCGACTGGCTTGGATGATAATTTTTCACAAGATAAATACAAAGTAAGTGGCAATTGCTAAAGACCTTTTGTACCACATCCCCCCAAGCAGCTTCATGGTCTCCCCTGCTATTTGTTTCCCTTTGCCCTTCTCTGCTCAGTGCCCACACTTCAGGGCCCCTGGCCCTGAGCCCAAAGGGAACCCGAGCTCTGCTGGGAGGATCGTTTACAGCTCAGTCATTCATCAACACAGGCTGCATTCACGCCTCTAACCACAGCATAACTCTCCCATGGGGGTTCAAAGTCTGCACTACCACCCCAGCTCAGATGTTCAGAATGAGCCCTGCACAGAACCTGTGGACACAGCTTGTGGCTTGGGACATGCAGTGATGCCCAGAGGAAGGAAGGATCCCAGCAGCCCTGCACCCAGATACTCACTGGTCTTGGATGCTTTGATCTTGGCCACCAGCTTCTGCACACCAGGTATGTCCCCATTCTTCACAGCCTGGATCAGTTCCTGCTCTCGCCCCATTGCAGACAGGTGGGAGGAGCGGCACACAAGGAAGAAGCCTTCAGATCCCAGTAGTTTATAAAGCCATCGAAATAAGTTTGTAAATCCTCAAAATATGCCTGAATAGGAGGTGGAATCCAGCAAGAAGAATGCCTTAAAATCCCACGGGACATAAAAAAAAGGAAGAAGTCTCCCTTTCAGCAGCAGAAGTCCCTTTCTTCATTGGGAGCAGCAGGACCCAGATGGGGTTAGGCTGAAGAACATGCCATCAGTCAAAACGAGGAGAGTTCAGTGCTGCAGGACCAGTTACTGACCGCCACAGAATGCTACAAGACCACACGAGGCAGCTCAGGGCAGGACAGCCAGCGGGGCTAGCGTCAGGATGCTGCCAAACCTGCACTGGACTCTGCAGCCAGAGGTGCCTTGCTTGGCTATCCTTGCCAGGCTCTGCCACGCTGATGAGTCCCTAATCCTTCCCAAAGGGATTACAGGCTTGTTGCCATCTGGAAGTTATAGATCCTTCCTCTCTGGTGCTCATTAGCGCTTTTGTTTCAGCATTCCTCTTGGAAACTGTGCTGCAGCCACAGTGCGGAACCCCGCACACAGATGAGCCCTGTTTCAGGCTGGCACAGCAGCCCAGGACCTGAGGAAGGGAAGGAAGAGAAGAGTCAGCCTTCAAAGAACATTTACCTCCTGGCTGGCACCATCATGATAGCTTTTGTATCCATGTCGAAGAACAAATACTTTGACTATATTTAGTCCTGGTGGGACTTGGCTCATCCTTGTGATAAAAAGAGGGAAGGACCTGTGGAGGAAGCCTTCTGTAGGGGAGCTGTGGATGGATGAGTGGTGCTGCCACTGCTCCTTCCCTGTTCTCACAGCCCATGGGGCTGTGCATGCTGTGCACTCTACACTAACCACAAATGGGGTCCAGGTCACTGCAACTTCTCCCTCTCCCCTCTGCCACTGGTAGCATCCAAGTGATGGAGCTGAGGTGGTTTTGTCAAAGTCTTCCAGGGGCCCTGAGACTGGCTGAACCTGCCTGGTACCTTTCCCATCTGTTACAGGGACAAACCCTGGCCTTTCAAGCTACCATGAAAGCTCAGTGCTCTGGGATTCAAGACACTCTGTATCCAATACATGAACGCTACTGGGCCCAAGTGAGCGCTGAGTGCAAACCACAGCACAACCGTGCTTCAGGGAACATGATGAAACCCCCGTTCTAGCTGTACAGGGCACCCTGGAAAGGGCCCAGGCTTCTGCAGCCATTCACATCTCCCAGCCAACACTTTGCCCTGTACCTGGGTTGTCCAAACAGGGCAGTGAGAAACTCTATGCTGGTTCAGGACCATGTATCCAGCAGGCTGCTCTGAAGCCCCAGGGACAAGCATGAAATCAGGAGGGCAGGCAGCATGCATTGTTCCCGCTGCTGGTCTGTCACACATCACCCCACCACTCCAACCCAGGTTGGATGGGAACCAGTTTCAGTATCCCCCAGCCGCTGCCCAAGTCTGTTGTCCCCCTTTCCAAAGCACTCACCCCCAGCCATTTAAATAACGATGGGTGCTTCTACTTCTGAGCAATCGAGGTCACCGTTTTGAGGGCAGAACACACAGGAGAGAGAAAGAGCAACAGTGGGAGAAGTCTGCCTGGTTCATGGGCAAAAGCAGAAGGGGCGTCCCAGTCCCTCATGGGACCCCACATCAAACATAGTGTTGCTCACCCCACCCACTTGCAATACTGGGAGCTGCAGCTGCCTGCAAGCACAGATCCCCAGCACCAGGCTCCCCTTGCTCCAGCCCTTCCTTACGCACAGCTGCAGAGACAATGCTCCCATGTAGGTGTAGCTCCTGGGACAAGACAATGCCCATGTTCCCATACCAGACTGAGGATTTACCCCTCTGCTGTCATTCCCCGAGTCTCTGGGTTTGCTGACTGATGACCCCTCAGTGCAAGGCTGCCTGGGAGTTAAGTGCCTGATGCCAAAGCCCATGCACACACAAATCAGATAGCACGTCTCCGTACCACAGAGCACCCACACCAGCTTACCTATTGTACAACAAAGTTTCAGCTACTGGAGTCATAACACCTTGACACAAACAAACTGCTTTCCAACGCCTCCTGCAACCCTCTGTCTTCAAAACTACTTATTTTATTTCACTCAGAGATCTGCATCCAATTCCACACCCCTCTGCAAGCACAAGATACAAATACAGGACCGTTGAGGATATTTACACATTCATTATCTGTGCAACTTCACCTAGAAAACTGCCTCACACTGCTGCCTACCTCTCCTGGAGCACACCAGACTCAACAAACAACTCTGAAGTATCAAGAGCTCCGAATACCGATCTCCACCTATTCAGCCTCCCAAGAAAAGAGCAGCAACAAAGGCAAGACTCGAGGAAGGCACAAAGCTGGAAAAGCAAAACATCCCTCCCACAGGAGCAAAGCGAAGCTTCAGCCCACAAATCCATCCGGAGATCCGAAGTATCTGAAACAGTCCTACAGCCGCAGGAAAAAAAAGGAGAGAAGGAAAACAACCATCAAACAATTTACGTAAGTAAGGAAGGAAAGATGCTAATGAGGAATCGGCAAAGGAACTCGGTCTGGAGGGGCGGGGGAGAACCTCACCTACCTCGGGAAACCCCGCAGGGTCCCGCTCCGCCTCCCACCACAGCGCTGCAATCCGGCGGTGCTCCGAGGGAGCTCCGCTCCACTTCGGGCGAACCGCCCCGAGTTCTGCGCGCTCCGCGTCCCGAGCGAGGCGGCTCCGCGGACGCAACTCACCCGGGGGCGCTCGCAGCCCGCCGAGACGCACAGCCTGGACTGGACGGGCCGGGCCGGGCCGGGCCGAACCAAAAAAAAAAAAACACTCCGGCGGCCCCGAGCAACCGCTCCTCCGCTCGCACGGCACTCAGCCGGGTCCTGTTCGGGCTGACCCCGTCCCCGCAGGAAATCCCTCCCCGGGCCGGTCTGATTGGAAAAAACCGGCGGGATGTGCGGGCTGGGCAGGGCCAGGCTGGCTGTCACTCACTGTGATGCGCCGCCAGATTTGGGCAGGGGAAGGGCCGGGAGCTCGGCTCCTGGGTCCCGCTCCGCGCTCCCAGCTCCGGCTCTGCTAATTAGGCTGCCGAGAAGGGGCGGCTCGGAGCTCAGCTGTGTAGTTCTGAAGGCTGCTGGACCCTTTCAAGTCGGAAGTCCGCAGCCCCTCATCCCAGCCCTGAACTCATCCTGCTTTTCCGAACCACTCTTCGCTCTTCCAAATCGCCTTCTTTTCTGCCAGCCCTCAGCAGAAAGAGAGAGCAGAACCGAGCACTCCCACGCAAGCACTGTGCTCTTGAAACAAGAGGCTGCTAATAAAGCTGGACAGCTTTTGCTACATGATACCACAGGATTTACCAGCATCTGATCTGCTTAAAAACACACAGAGGCTTTAATTTTACTCACTAAGTACCTAGCCCACAGCCCAAGGGGAGGTGCAGGCATCTCTTAGTCCCAAACGCAACCCCAAAAGAGGGTTCCTTGAGCAGTCCTGCTAGGGGAGGACAGGGTGAATCGTCGTGAGGAGAAGCTGATGCTTCCAGAAACACTCAGCCTTGTGAGTTCAGGAATAAAGAGATCATTATGCACACCTAATTATAAACATCAACATTTTACAGCTTCTGTGTTGAAGCATGAAGCCCTAAGTAGCCCTGCTAGGAAGCACAGGGAAGTGAACGGTCTTGTTACTCCTTCTTTGAGTTTCGTCAGAGCTGTAAAGCACATTGACATTTATAATAATCCCCTAAACTTACACAGCACCTTTTGTGCTTTTAAGGATCTTAACTATGCTTTGCAGTCCCCTGAACACAGACTGAACCTGCTTTTCAAAGAGTAGCCCAGACCCTGCTTTGTATAAAACAGGTCCCGCATCACCGCTTTGTGCAGGATAGGACTTCACCTCCACTCCTCTGTAGCACAGTTACACCATGTGTTCCAAGGGTATTCCCACTCAAAGGTTCAGCAACACACACGTCATTAAAGCTGGGTCATTTAGGCGTTAATCTCTGCAGTCATACACACCCTTTGAGCAGGGGGTACCACAGGGAAGTTCACTCGTTTCCTGGATATCCACAGCCTTTGAACACAAAATCAAGTATGGGTGCATCTAACACTGCAATCTAAACCCCACACTCTGGCAGCAGACAAGCAGATGAGAGCTAGCATCAGCAGTCTGGATTTCCTATCATGTATCTCACAGCTTTCATTTAAGTCTTAGGGGTTAAATAGTTCTTCAGTGATCCACAGCACAGAGACCTACCAAGGACTGCAGCTGGGTGACAGATCCCTGCCCTAACACTCATTTCTGCCTGTCCACGGGTTGGGGATGAGAGAATTGACTGAATTGCCACTACAGAAGTCCTTCATAACATGTTGCTATTTCTCTGCCCAGGAGTAAGTTGTATTTTAAGAGATGCTTCTGGGATCAGAGAGCAGCCCCAGGAGGGTGGCTAAGAGCGCGGCCCTGCCCTACGGCCCCACACCCGTTGCGGAACGCGCGCCAGCAGCACCGAGCCACGGCCTCGCGGGGCAGATTGGCACTCAGCCCCTCGTCCGAGCCGAGCTTCTTACGGCCAGCAAGGACCCTCCTCCTCGGGGCGATGTTGCCATCTAGAGGGCCACGCTACAATGATCGTCTCGTTGCACGCTGTTGGGAAAGTGTTTTTGTTTTTAATTCAAGGCAGCAAGTAAAAGCAGCGTTCTGAGGTAGTAACTGAGCAGGAGGAGTACATATCATGCTCCTGCGGTTGGGATGCTTGACTTAAAACGTCACTGCACGATGCTTTGCCAGCTCTCCCCAGTCCATGGCTTCAGCAGCTGAATTATGACTGGAGCTCAGTGTGTTCTTTTCACAGCACTAGCAGCTGTTCATCTCCCCTTCCTCCCCCTTCCCCCTTTTTCTGAGATTTACCTTAACGTTCCTCCTTCTCCATAAACAAAACACTGCAGATGCTGCCAGGGTGAGAAGGGGTCCCACTGGCACAAGTGACACACTCAACAGCATCTGCAGCTTCAGGTGAGATGGACACAGATGTGCAGGCTTAAGATGCAGACTTCCCACTCCCCCCTCTCATCTGCAAAAATCTAACTTAGCAGCAGCAGCCCCACCCATAAAGGAGCCGGCAGGGCCCAGACTTGAAAAAATTCAAGTATGTTATGAACCAGCTGGGCGGCATTGTACTACTCCCACTCCCTGCTCAGCTGCAGCTCAAGGTCCTCTGCTGCAGCAGCCCAACATGACATCACCCTTTGCAGGCATTGCTGCTTTCCCCAGATAGGAGCACAGACATGGCTACCAAGACACTTGGTAGAAGTGAGGCAGAAATCACCCTTTGCAGAGCTGGTAGTGATAGTGGCATAAACCACAGCTAGGAGTCAGCGTCTACTTGGCAAACAGGACTTAGAAGGGATTCAGGAAGTTCTTACAGCAAATAATCCTTTTCATACACACAACCACAGATAACAAGCCCTTGCTTCTCCTTCACCAAGCTCAGCTCTCATTTTGTGTCACTCTGCTGGACACCAGCACGCATCACAAAAAAGCAGCTCTACAGCCTGGTCTCAAATATATGAACTGGAAGCTACAGCCCAAACCTTTCTGCACCCATCACAGCAATCCCTTCCCTACATCTAGGTGGGAACCCAGGCAGGAGCAGCCCTTATATGTGCTAGCCACTGGAGTCACCTTTCCATGGCACATGCTGGTGCTGCTCCTGCTCCTCTCCCCTTCCTGCCCTCCTGTTTTCCTCCTCCTTCAAAAACTGTCCATGCCAGCTGCCACCTCTTTCTGTTCCCATGCCTTTCCTCTTCTATCTCCTTCTCTCAGGAAATTAAAGATAATACCTCCCGCCCCCCGCCCCCCCTTTTTTTTTTTCCTGCCTGAGTCTCTGCTTAACATTCACTGCATGTGCTTGCACTGATTCAAAATGGGATTAGACTTTATTGCTTTGATGTCAGTTGGGCTTTGCACTTAAAGCAGAGGAGGAAATAAACTCTCCATTACCAAACCTGCTGGGTGCTGTCCACCCATTTTCAGCCATTCTGAACATGAAGAACAGGCACATTTACCTTCACAGAGCAGATTCTCTTCCAGGACCAACCCCACTCTGCAGTGCCAGCCATGTGCAGTCCCTGTGGGCGCTATTCCCTGGAAACAGCTGATATCTACTCCAAATGTAATCAACCACCATTGTGGAGCTTAGACAGCTCTCTAATCAGAAAACACAACTATGATGTCAGTGAACACTGCAGCTTACAGCTGCCATGCAGCAAGAGTGTGCAGGCCCTGGCATCACTCCAATAGAGATCAGAGCTTGGGACTCTTGCTGGGAATATCTTGAGTTGCTCTAGGATGAGTGTGTGCTCTGGGATGGCCAAGATAAAAATGCACATCCTCTTCTCTGTAGCATGCCACCCACACTAAGCACAGCCATAGAAACAGACACTCGCCTCTGCATTGTCAGGCCTGTGACTCTCCATAGAAGATGCAGACTTCAGATCATTTTATTATTTTTATTAACCAATACCTCCTGCTAACCCCAGAACCAAGCATTTGTCTGAAGTAGATGAAGAGCTTGTTACGGACAAGCTCACCTCATCCCCAAGAGTTTTGCTCTGCCTCCAAGACATCATTCTTTGTGTCCAGCGATATCCAAAGTAGCCCAGTAGCACTGTTGAGAGCTGGGCAAGATCTCACTTGTCTCTATCCTACACTGATCTGACAGCAGAATTAAAGAACCTTTTACACAGGATGCTGCAAGAATCACGACCAGGGCTGGCATCCAATAGCAGATCCTGCTCACACAGGACCATCTAGTCCTGGAGTCTACAGGGGATCAGAAGTGGTGTTTTCTGCCATGTGTGTGAGAGCTGGTGCTCCACCTCCATTCCCATTTGAGCTTCACCACACAGACAATTGAGTCTCCACTGTGTGACACAAGGTCTGGAGACAGCAGATATTTGGGTGCACCTGGAACCATCGCAGGAGCTTCCACCAGCTGTTTGGGAGAGCAGTTCTGCAACAAATAAAGTTCAGCTATGGCTGACATCTGCTCCCCAGCCCTGTCCACGGGGAGGGAACACAACAGGTGATTGCGAAGAAGAGCTGGGAGCCATCCAAGCTCTCTAGCAACTGTAACCTCTGTTACCCACACCATGTCACCCTGCTGCAGCTCCAGTTGGAGGCTGCCTTAAGCCAGAACCTTGGGCATCCTCCAGAATATGCCTCTGCTAACAGCGTAGCGTCTAATCCATTTTGCCCAGTGCATGCACATAGACTTCATTTAATGTCTGAGATGAGCTCCATCCATCATCAGGGAGTAAAGGAGATCGGCTCCACAGCATACCTGCCTCACACTGATCCCATTCTCCAGGCCTCTTGATTAATAGCAAGGCCACCTTATCTGGCAGGCCAAGAAACATGAATATCCAGATTGATATGAGATGAAGGGAAGCTCAAGCAC